TATTATTGTTGTTGTTAGGTGCCATTGAGTCAGTACCAACTCATAGCGACTTTATGCACAGCAGAAGGAAACACTGCCCAATCCTGGGCCAACCTCATTACTGTTACCACACTTGAATCCATCAATGCTGCCACTTGGCCAATCCATCTCGTTGGAGGTCTTCCTCTTTTTCTCTGACCCTCTACCTTACTAAACATGATAGCCTTCTCCAGTGACTGGTCCCTCCTCACAATATGTCCAAATTATGAGAGATGAAGTTTGGCCATCTTGGCCTCCAAGTACGTTCTCTGTCACTGTAGAACTGTAGCCATTTCTGTATTACCTTTAGCAACTCTGGAAGTTCTCTGTCAATGTATGACTGTAGCCGTTTCTGTATTACCTTTAGCAAAACTTTACTTGCATGGAATACCAAAGAGATTGTCCGATGGTTTTCACATTCCGTTAGGTCACCTCTCTTTGGAATGGGCAAAAACATGGATCTCTTCCAATCACTTGGCCAGATAGTTGTCTTCCAAATTTCTTGGCAGAGATGAATGAGTACCTCCTCTGCCCTTCACTTTCTTGAAAGATTTCAATTTTTATTCCATCAATTCCCGATACCTTGTTCTTTGCCACATCTTTCAATGCACCTTGGACTTCTTTCTTCAGTATCAATGGCTCTTGATCATATGTATATGTAAATGTATATAACATTTAAAAAAAGAAACCAATATACAGATGTTCAGCTATACAGCACCTAACATCCACTTAGACAATGTCTGCATGTATGTCCTTGGGGATGGGGAGAAGGGGCTTGCTTGGACAGACACCAGCAGGCAAGCAGGCAGGGCAGTGGCAAGGTTGTGCACTACGACAGCCAAGGTTTAGCTCCAGCGGGGTGCAGCCGCAGAGCTGTGGCACAGCCAGCAGGTAGATGCCTGTGTGGAAATCTGGCTGTGGCCACTCCGCTTATCCCTTGGGCATCCCAATTCTGACCAGACTGTCCAGTGGCTGTTCGTACCATGCACCCAGAGGTAGCCAAATGCAGGTTCAACTTTACCAACCTCAGGGTTATTGGCCAGAGCAGCTTGAAAGGGGTTACTTGTACAGCAGATATATACAGACGTATATACCATGGGGCTTCAGAGTATTCATGGAAAAATTCCATTTTGAATCCTCTTCGTATCACAAGGTGTTCACACAGCATCCTTTTCCTAGAATGTCTGGAGTCCTGGTGTGGTGCCATAGAATAAGCACTTGGCCTCAAGGTCGGTTTGAAAAGCAAGGTCAGCAGCTCAAACTCACCAGCCACTCTTCAAAAAACCGTATACAGGGTCGCTATAACCGGGAACTGACTCAACACTTAAAAACAACAACATCATGGATGTTTAGCAACGCATACCTGTATTTTAAAAAGACTAGAAAGAAAAGTGAATAGAACAATCTCTAGAATATTAAATTATGGCTAATTTTTTGTAGTCTTGGAGCAAGTTTTATATTTTCCCAGTTTTCTGTACTAAAGATAGAAGAAAGAAAATCATATGGAAGCATCTGAAATTTTGAGCTTCAAAACTTCCCATCATGGGCAGAATAAATGTACTAAACAGAGTAATTTACTACCAAATATGTCTACATTGCAAAAGTTTTCTTATCTGCTAACTATTTAGAGGAAAAGTTACTGGAAGTACAAGACTCCATGACTATTCAGAAGCTTTTAAAATGTTCTCCTATTAGGTTTGTGAAACAGCCAAACCTGGAACAGAATTTGGCTGGGTCTCTTGAGTAAGCAAACACACAAACATACCGTTCCGGGGTTGGTGACAATCATGCCTTTGCACTCTTCTGCATATTTTTGCCACTCCAGCTCTTCCCACTGAAGCATATTGGCGATCTCCTCCTCAGGGACCAGAGCTTTGCTGCACCGAAGCAAGTAGAGAAGTATCTGGTGCATGGACAGAACTTCCTTTCCTCCATCTTGGGCCGGAGTGGAGAGGGAGGGAAAAACAAGGCCAGTCAGTCAAAAGCCAGGCACCGGGAGTAAGGGAAACAAGACAACAAGTGTGGAGGGGCTGAGGGGAAACATTTACAAAAAGGTCATTTTAATTTTCCACAGTTGAACCAGGTGCCAAATAGGAAGAAAGTCATTCGTTTCATTGATGAACAGTGCTCATAAACCAACTCATTTACTAAACTGGCAACAACAACATTATAAATGATAAAAGCCTCCATTTGTGAGGTGTGACTATAAAAATAAAAGTGAAAAAAAGTACCCACCTGAATAAATCTAAAACCAGCTAGCATACAAAAACCACCGTTCATCACATGCAGAGCCATGTTATGTCTGAAATGTTTTATCATTCCTTTTAGGGTAACAGATGAGGGCTGTTGAGAAGTGATGTTACTGTCTTAAAGAAACTCAGCGCTTTTATGAGATATTTACGGCTGCTTACAATCAGCCATTGTTGTATTATGGCCTAATTTTTCGGTGCTAATGTGTTGCACCTGCCGTGAGGACTAGAGCAGAAGAGTTTGTACTAATATCACGGAAGCTCATTATGGAGTTCAGCATCCGGCAAAAACACCAAGCATTCCAAGGCTAACGGACACATGGATCACCAAGTACAGAGGATAAACATAACCAGCTACCCTGGGAAAAAAGCCAATCTATCTGATACTCAATGAAGCAAAGATATTCTTTTAATGTAGCCATTAATGTGAGATTCACATGATTCTGCCTTCTCTTCAGGCTTTGATTCTTGACCAAATTTGCCCCTTTGGGTTCCCTACTTCCTGCCATAGAAAGGTCAAGGTCCCCGGGGGTTTAGAAGACAATTACTACTCTTCCCAGGCTCATGAGATATGAGGAACACTAGTACAGAGCTAAACATTTCATGGAGTAACAAGGGACCAATAACACAAGACAGGATGCCCTTTTTGTGGTAGAGGGGTTAATGGTACCCAGAGTTTGGGGTACCTGAAAATAGAAGACAATATATTTTAATATGAGTGATTGTAGTCTATGAACTTAGACCTAGACAGCTAAAAGAAAGCAGGGAGTAAAGATCAAAACTCCCTTTTGACACATGTTTCTTAATGTAGGATACTATTGCTGAAGTTGCTGTTGTTAAGCACTGTCAAGTAAAGATCAAAACTCCCTTTTGACACATGTTTCTTAATGTAGGATACTATTGCTGAAGTTGCTGTTGTTAAGCACTGTCAAGTAAAGATCCAAAACTTCCTTTTGACACATATTTCTTAATGTAGGATACTATGTTGTCGTTGTTGTTAAGTGCCATCAAGTAGGTTCTCACTCATAGCCACCCTATAGTGTTTCTGAGGAGCAACTGGTGAGTTTGAAACACTGACCTTGTGGTTCAAACCAACCTTGCGGTCCAGTGCTTATCCTACAGTGCTAGTATATTGTTGTTAAGTGCCAGGGAGTCAATTCTGACTCAGTGACCCTGTATAGGGTTTCCAAGGAGCAGCTGGTATGCTTGAACTACCTACTACATGGTTCAAACTGACCTTGTAGTCCAGCACATTAATGCACAGTGCTGCACCGTACTACTATATATACTAGGGCTAAAACGCATGATTGCTAACTAGCCACTATACATGTAGACATGCATTCATTCATTCACTCATTCAATATGCATTTACTGAGTACCTATTATGTACCAGCAGTCCTCGTGTGGCACTGCGGGTTCCTGCACTGGACTGCAGTCGGTTTGAACCTCAACGTGGGAGGTTCAAACTCACCAGCAGCTCCTTGGAAATCCTATACAGGGACACTATGGGTCGGAACTGAATGGCAGTTAACCACAACAACAATATAGTTAATTTGGGATCTTGGTGTGGTGCTATAGGATAAGCACTGGACTGCTCACCACAAAACTGATGGTTCAAAGCCACTCCTTGGAAACCCTACCTAGGATTGCTATGAGTTGGAATGACTGGATGGCCCTGAATAACAAACAATAGTTAATTTCATATTATATGAATTTCACAATAATAACAATAAAAGGATAATCAGGAAAGATGTTTTTGAAGAGGAGGTTTGGGCACAGACTTGAAAGATGCAAGGGAATCCACTCAGCAAACATCCAGGTAAAGAGTGTCTCAGGAGTAAGAAACAGCAGAAGCCCTATAGTGGGTGGGGCAAAGGTGTTGTTGGTACCAGGAGTGACATGAGGAAGTGTGGGTGAGAAAAACAACAGGGAAACCAGAGCATGCCAAGCTTTAGCCAGTGTACCAAGAGCTTTGGGCTTCAGTGTGAGATGGCAGCATGCTTTTCACCATTATACGTTCTAGGCACTGAGTGGTCCCAAGTCACAATCACAGAAGAAAGCCACAACCTCTGAGCCCTCAAGAAGCCAGGCTTCTTGAGGCTGATCAATCACAATGGTTGCTGGAAGAATCTCTGCAGATAACATTCTCCTATCCAACTGTTAACCAGGCCAGACCCTGCTTAGCATCCAAGATCAGGTGTATTCAAGGTGGAATGGAGAGAAACTACAGACAATATTCTAATAACAGTTTTCTTTGTGGAAGACAATGAATTTTTTTTTTTCAGAGGGGAAAAAAAAAAAAAAAAAAATCAATCTGAGGAGAAATGACCAAACTGTAAAATACAATCACCCACATGATGACAAGTTCAATTTACTGATACAGATGATAGTATATAGAAGTGAATTTTTTAATGCCTCATTACACAGCATCTGCCTTTTAACTCAGAGTCACCTTTGATTAACAAACTTCCAAGGAGAACTTATTTTTCAGTGTCTGTCTCAAAACCAGTTTAATCCACCTGAATGTGACAAGTATTCCTCAATCAATAACATTCCTCTCTTTACCCAGGAGTCCAACAACACATAATGCCTATTATTGGTGTTAGTAACCTCTGTGTCTAGGGGGCTTGAGGTGAGCAGGTGACTCTTACTGGTTGACTGTACCCTACATGGGAATCCAGGAGGAATGAAAGAAACCAAGAAACCCAGAAAGGCACAAGAGTACTTGGCTTGTAGTCACTCCATCCGGTAAAATGACTTAGGAAAGCTGTGGCTGATAAGGATACATTGTTGTTAATAAGTGCCATCGAATCAGAAATCTTTACGGGAGGAGAAAGCCTCATCTTTCTCCTGCAGAGTGGCTAGTGGGCTCAAACCTCTGATCTTGTGGTTAGGAATCCAATTTCATCCTACAGTGCTACCAGAGCTGCATAAAGATACATCTGCTGTTTCTGTGAAGTGCCGACGACATCAGTTCCAACTCACAGTGACCCTGTATAGGGTTACCAAGGAGCAGCCGATGAGTTTGAACAGCCAACCTTGCAGTTCAAACTGACCTTACGGTCCAGTGCATTATCCTACAGCATTAGGAGTCCAAGACATGCTAAAGAGTAGAGTTTTGTTTTGCTATATTGCTGGTGTGTGGTGTTGGGTGAATTCCTATTCATAGAGATCTTACAGGACCGAGCAGTTCCAAGGCTATAATATTTATGGAAACTGACTCCCCCCATCTTTCTCCTCTGGAGCTGCTATTGAGTTTGAACTCCCCTTTTGGTTAGTAGTTCAGCACTTAGCCACTAAATCACTTTGTTGTACTATATTGTTTGTTGTTGTTGCTAAGTGCCCTCGAGTCTGTTCCCACTCATAGCGCTGGTGTTGGAACCACCGACCTTGAAGTCCAGTGCATTATCCTGCAGTGACACACCACAACTCCACTGCTGTGCTATAAGGATTAGAAAATAGATATAGATTTTACGGGGATCATGTTGTTGCTGTTAAGTGTCGCTGACTGAATTCCAACTCATCCAACTCAGCAACTCTGTATAGGATTTCCAAAGACCAGCTGTTAAGTTTGAACCACCAACCTTGAGGTTCAAACCCGACCTTGAGGTAGAGTACTTATCCTACAGTGCCACACCGGGACCCCATCTAGTTCTTCTCTTTTCAGAGTAGTGGAGGCTGTGGTTCGTAAGGTCCATTGATCCTGTAGATTAATTGTTTGCTTGAGTCTTTGATTTTCTTCACCTGTTTTTCTACCAAATGGGAAAAGACTAACAGCTGCATCTTAGAAGGCTGGTCACTAGCCTTGGAGACCCCAGTATCTACTCACCACAGTAGGATATAGAACATTGTCTTTGCAGACTGTTATGCAAACTGACTTGGCTATCCCCAGAGATTGTGGTCCAAAGTCTCAAGACCAGTGATTCATTTGCCTAGCTAAAAAGATTTTTATAACTTTGACCCATTTGCTGTATTATATACATGGATGCATTTACAGCACCTACAAACATGTACTTAAAAATACCCTCTGCCAAACTCATTATCTTTGCAATTCCATTTTTCCATTAGCTTTTTGAAGCCTCTTTATATGACTGTGGGTAGTCTCATTCACTTAGCCCTCCCTGTCCTGCTTGCTTGTCTGCCTAGGTATCCATCTGTGGGTTTGGTTATTGATGAATTCCAGGGTGATACAACCGAATTTGCCTTTGCTGTTTATACTCTTATAGGTGGTAAGTTTTTAATGGAGCAAGAGAAGCTGTAAGTTATTATAGAAATCTGTTAGCTATTTTAAATGGCAATTACAACCCTGAGAGATAGTTATTTATCACTGTGAAAAAAAAAGCAGAATCTCAGGCCAGATCATCTAGATGGGAGGAAGGGGAGTTTAAGTCTCTGCTCTACTTTGATATTGAAGTGCAATCATTATGATCCAGCCAGAGCCCATGAAGACAGGGGCTGTATCCCTCACATCCATTCCAGCAAAACCCAGACACCCCATAAATATCTGTGGAGTGACTTTCAGAAGCACATGAATAACGTAGTCACTCGCTCTTAGACTCCCATGAATTCACTAATACTAATGAATTGGCTCTTTGGGTTTGTCTGTTTTGCTGCATGTTTATGGTGGGGATTTATGGAACGATGGCACTGAGGGCTAACAAGTCATTGTTACCTCACTGGCCGGGA